TGCGCTCCTCCGTGACGGCCTTCCGCGACGCCCGGGTGCGCTTGATCTCGTTCTCCTGGATGAACTTGTAGTAGCGCACGAGCTTGTCCTGCAGCCTGGCCCGGTCCGCCGCGATGACCTCCTCCACCTCCCGCACCCGCGCCATGCGGACCATGTACAGCTCCCGCTTTGCGTCCAGCTCCTTCTGCGCCTCCATCACAGCCCGCCGCAGCTGCGTCGCCGCCGTGATGCTCTCCAGCGCACCCGACATCTCGTGCCCGCTCTACTTGTGTATGTGCGTGTGTGTGCGTGTGTGTGCGTGTGTGTGCGTGTGTGTGTGTTGGTGCGACTGCCACCGCCTGCTGCCGGTGGCGGGGCGTTGTAGCGTGTGAGGGGAGAGAAGAAAAAGAAGCGGCAGGAAAGATGCGGCAGCGCGCACGCACGCGTACAGGCCCGCCGCAGCAGCAGCAGTAGCGACGGTGTGTGTGTGTGCGGGCCAGGCTACCCGGCCTGGCACGCACGGAGGCGGAAGTAGCGACAGCTGCAAAGTAGTCCGGCGGGCGCGGCGGCCCCTCCTCCTCCCCCCCGCCCGCCCCGCACCCTTCGCCGTCGTTTCATCCCTTCAGTTTCGCGCCGCCGCCTAGGCGTGGTAGGAGGGCACAAACACAACCGACTGGTCGGACGCCTCCACCGCCGCCAGCAGCGAGCCGCGGGGGAAGCCGTCGAACACCGCGAGCCGCGCCGCCTCGAGCTCCGCGACGCCCACCGGGAGGAGGGCGCAGACGCCGCCGCGGCGGCCGTAGTGGCAGACGAGCAGGTGCCCCGTCTCGAGCGCAACGTACAGGCGCCTGCCGCTGCACGCCATGCGCCGCACCCCGCCGCCGACGCCGCCGGCCACCCCCGTCGACACGAGGGCGAGGACCTGCACGCCGACGAACGGGTTGACGTGCGCCACCGCGACCCCCTCCACCTGCGCGCAGTGCAGGAAGAAGTGGTTCGGGCCCAGCGCCCGCGCCTTCGCCATCGCCAGCACCGGCGCCGCGGTGGGGACGACGGCCTCCACGCAGCTGGGGAAGGCGATCAACACGACGGCGCTCGTCCCGCAGACGAGCTTCACGGCAAAAGTGTCGTCGTCGGCGAAGAGGACGTCCTCCGTGGCGCCCTCCACCGACACGCTGCTCCTGAGCAGGGAGCTGGACGGCGGCAAGCGGACGTCGTGGAAGTGCAGCGCGATGTGCTCCGTGCTGCCGCACGCCAAGTAGCGCCCGTCGCGGCAGGAAAAGCCGAGGCACGTCGTCGGCACATGCGGGGTGCAGCGGTAGAAGAGGCAGTGCGCCATGCGGTCCTCCGTCTCCGCCGCGCCGTTGCTGCCGCTGCTGCCGCCGCCGTAGACGGTGGCGGCGGGGGCGGCGCCGAAGGAGAGGGACCACACCAGCGCCCCGCCGTCGCAGCCGACCGCCAGCACGTCCCGCGAGCGCGGCTTCCACGCGACGCAGTGCACGTTGCGCTGAAAGGCGTGGGTCAGAACGCACGTCTCCTTCCCCTCCGCGACGTCGTACACGACGACCCGCGAGCAGCCGGCGCCCTCGTCCACGGCGGCCGCCAACGCCATGCGGTCGGGGTGGAACGCCATGGCGGTGACGCCCTCCGGGCACTCGGCGGGGCGCAGCGGCCGCGGCGCGCAGCCGGCGGAGACGGGCACCGCGAACGGAAACACGAGACGCAGCAGCGGCACCGCCGCGGCCACGGGGCGCAGCAGCCACCGCGCCGCCTCGAACGCCCGCTGCCGCCGCCACCACGACGACGACAGCGGCGATGGGGACGACGACGACGACGCCCGGCGGGCGCCGCGGCCAAGCACGTTTCTATTTGCGAGCTTCCACACCGGGTACACCGCCCCGCCCTGCGCCTCGAAGGAGGCGCGGTGGCCGCTGCCGTAGAGCGACCCCGCGGCCTCCCCAAGCAGCCGGTCCCCGGCGACAAATGCGGCGGCGGCCCCAGACGGCAGCTCGAGCAGGGGCTGGTACATATCTCTGGCTGCGGGGCGCCGCGTTGGTGACGAAGAGGCCACGTGCAACGAACGGAAGAGAAAAAAAAAAGAAAAGAAAACTCACACACGCACACACACACGTGGCCCGAGCAGGAGAACGCACGGGCGCATTGCAAGAGGAGGAGGAGGAGGTGCGGCCGGGCGGCAGCCAGCCAAGCACCCGCAGGCAAAGAGAGAGCAAAGTAAGAAAAACAAAGCAGCGGGAAGGGGGAGATATGTGTTGGCGTGCTTTGGCCGCAGCCGGCCGTGCGCTGCCTCCCTCACTTTTTATTCTTGCCGCGCTTGCTCCCGCCGCCCTTCTGCTGCCGGCCTTTCCCCGACTCCTTATTGGAGGCCGCCAACAGCTCCGCCACGAGCTCGAGCTGCTCCTTCTCGATCTCCGCCGCCCGCTTCTTCTCCCCCCGGTGCCCACCTGCCGAGGAGGGCGGCGGCGGCGTCGGTTGCGGTGCTTCCGCCGCCGCGCCGTTTTCTCGGGGCGCGGCGGAGTTCTGCTGGCGCACGAGCTGTCGGTTTGCCGCGACGTAGAGGCCGGGGTTTGGCCCCTTGAAGAACTTCTTCATGTGGAACGCGTCCTCCTCGTCGACGTAGTACCCCTTCTCGACGTTGGCGCAGCGGAAGCCCAGCGTGTCCTGGTACAAGTGCAGCCCCGCGTCGTTGGTCTTGCGCACGTGCAGGGAGCAGAAGTTGGCGTCGTACTGCTTTTGCATCTCCTTCATGGAGGCCCGCATCAGTCGCGACGCCACGCCAAGCCGGCGGTGGCTTCGCAGCACCGAGATACTCGTGATGTGGCCGTAGATGCTCTCCGGCTTCTCCTCCTCCTCCATCTTGGCAAGCACGTAGCCCACCACGTTGCGGTTGTAGTCCTCCTGCACGTACAGCAGCTGCGGGCAGGAGAGGATGTGGTAGAGGTAGTACCGCATGTTGTAGTTCTCCGGCAGGCACCGCAGGTTGCAGTGCTGCATCTGGTACATGTCCTCCATCGTTGCGCGGCGGACCTGCATGGTTGACGGCGGGCAGGGAGATAAAGAGAGAGGAGGGGCGGGGGCTGGTTCACGCGAATAACCCTGCGCAGCGGCCGGCAAGGAAAGGAAAGGGAAAAAAAAGAAGAAGAACGGTGCAAATCGAACGGGTTCGCAAGCGGAATATAAAAAAAAAGCGCTGGCAACGCGGTGTGCCGTGCGCTGACGCACGGCACAAACAACCCACACACAAACACACACACGCACGCACTGCATGAAGAAAAACAGCGGGATAAAAAAGTATACAGTTGGCCATTGCACACGCGCGCACGCACGCCCCAAGGCCAGCCCCGCGCTACAGCTCCATGATCCGCCACGGACCGCCCTGGGCGACGGTGCAAAAGTAACACTCGGTGTACCTGCACGCGGCGGCGGCGGCGGCGGCGCTGAACGGGCTTTGCACCTCCCCGCCGCACGGCAGCAGCACTCGGCGCCCCACAATCACCAGCGACGCCTTGAGAAACTCCAGCGCCACACGGCACGAGGCGCCGCTCACAAGTCCGCTCGCCTGCAGCCGCTGCAGCAGCTGCTCCTCCGTGATGCCGGGGGAGTGGTGCACGAGACTGTAGAGGGCGAAGAGGAAGGAGCGCCAGACAAACTCATGCAGGGAGCCATCGACGTGGTGGAAGATGCTTGGAAACCGCAGCGCAGGCGACCCCTCGCGTGGCGCCACAATCGCGGCCCGTGCCATCGCCACCTGCGCGGCGGAGGGGGGCGCGTCCACGGGGATGTCGCGGAGCTCGAGGTGCCGCAGCTGCCGCCACGGGCGCAGCAGGCCGCGCGCGGGGTACGGCTCGACGGTGTGCCGCGTCGCTGCTGCTGCCGCCACCGCCGCCGCCGCGTTGACGGCGGGCGTGGCGGGCGGAAGGGGCGTCTTGCGTGCGGCGGCCGGGTGCGACGGCCACGCAAAACGCGGCAGCCGCAGCACGCCGAGCCCCTTCTGCTCCCGAATCTCCTCCGCGAGGGAGTCGAGGTTGACGGAGGGTTGCTCCACGAGGCGTGGGGCCCGGCGCAGCAGGTCGCACGCTTCCGCCGGCTCGGCCGCCGCAACCGGCGGCACGCACCACCGCCGGCAGTTCGACTGCGGGGTGCAGAGCAGCGCGGCGGTGAGGTCCTGCACGAGGGTGGAGGCCGGGCTCTGCCCGTGCGTGACAGTCGTCACCAGCGCCGCCGGCACGAAGGTGAGGATCGGCGACAGCTCGATGCGCGGGAGCCGGCCGGGGCCGCCCGAGCGGATGCGGAAGGACGGGAACGCCAGCAGCCAGTCGATGCAGCGCCGCCGCTCCTCCTCCGGGAACTGCGCGAGGAGGGCGGCGGCCGCGACGGCGTCGTAGTGCGCCTCGTCGCTCAGCAGGATCATCCGCAGGAGGTCCTGCAGCGCCTCCGAGGGGGCGTCCTCCTCCACGGCCGCGGCAGCAGGTCGGCGTTCCTCCTCCTTTTCCTTTTCCTCCTCCTCCTCCTCCTCGCTTCCCACCGCGACGTCGGGGGCCGCTGCAAAGTTCGGTGAAACCACCGACTGCACGGCGGCCGCCCGCCCGCCCTGCCCGCCCTGCACCGCGCGCATGATGCTCTGCACCAGCGTCTGCACGCTGCCGTGTACGCGGGTGCTGTACGGGTTGTAGCGCGAGAAATGCACGGACTTGCTGTGGCGCCGCACGAGCGCCTGCAGCCGCTCCAGGCCGCGCTGCGGCTCGTCGGACTGAAGAATCGTCTCGAGCGTCTCGGCCATCGTCGCCCCGCTCACCTCCACGCGGCGCCGCGGGTGGGAGGCCCGCCGCGGGTCGCCGCGGCCCCTCTCGTACTCCTCCGCCTGCATCGCGTCACGGAGGGTGCGCTTCCGCGCGCGCAGGGCTCCCTGCCGCTGCAGTACGTGCTCCGCGAGGATTCCCGGATCGATGCGCAGCAGCCGCGCGAGGGCGATCAGCTGCGCATTCGACAAATTCGGCTCCGTCGCCACGACCCCGCGGATGAGCCCGACGGCGCGGTGCGGCTCCTGCGCCAGGGCGGCCGCCGCCCACGACTCGCCCCAAAAGTTCAGCACCGCGCGGCACGTGTCCTGCGGCGTCGTGCCGGCGCCGTCGCAAAAGACGTGTCGCCGCTGCTGCCGATCGAAAGCGGCGGCGGCGAGGGCGATGGAGACCTCCGCGAGCGGCACGTCCAGGTGCGCCGCGAGCGACGCCTCACTCAGCACGAGGCCCTGCGCCTGCAGGCCGGCGAGGGAGTGCAACAGCGGCTGCACGCCAGAGCGGCGGCAGTGCTCCTGCAGCGAGGGGGGAAGCCGGCGGAGGGGCGTTCCCCACGCACACGACTGCGGCGACGCCCCGCCAACGTACTCCGCCACGTCCACGTCCGCCACGCCGACGGTGATGCAGAAGGAGCTCAGGCTCATCTCCTGCAGCACCCGCGCAAGCGTCATCGGGGTGCCGGGAGCCTGCCCGAGGGCGCACCACACACGCCACAGCTCCACGTGCACGCGCGAGAGGCGGAAGAGCCCCACCCGGCTGTACCCGTTGCGCACCATCGTCACCTTGGCGACCAGGCGCGCGCTGCGTGCGCTGGACCTCGCGATGGCGGCAGCCGCCGCGGAATGCCCCACGCCGCCCTCCGCCGGCTCCGGCAGGTGCTGCAGCAGCAGCGTCGACTGCTGCCGCTTCTGCTCGCGGGCCGAAATACCGTCGAGGTACGACTGCATCAGCGCCGCCCGCGTCTCCTCCGTCAGCTCAACGCCGGCAACGGCGACGATGCCAATCCGCCTGCCCTTCGAGGACGTTACCCCCGTCGTCGCCAGCTGGCCCTGGCCGCGCAGGTACGGTATGACGCGACCCAGCGTGCGGCGGTCAACGATGCGCGAGAGGTCCGGCAGCACCAGCGCCTGCGCGGGCGACGCGCGCAGGGCCTCCATGACTCTATTCGCAGCCCAACTCGAGACCCCCTTCGCCAGCTTCGCCCCCTCCCCCTCCTGCGCGGCAGCGCTGCAGCCGCCGTTGCCGCCGGCGCGGGCGTCCCCCCACCCCTTTGGCCGCAGGAGGCGCGTGAATGCCTTGCTGTGGCGGCTCAGCACGTTGGTGCTCTCGATGGTGCCCCAGCGCTCCTCGAACTGCCGGGTGAAGCGGTGCAGCTCGTTGCGGGTGGCACGCATGTCGTACAGCGTGACGCGCGGCAGCACCGACTCCACCGCCAGCGGCCGCCGCTCCGCCTCCTTCGCCACCTGCAGCGCCAGCGGGCAGGCGGGGTCGACGCAGAAGAGCGCGTCGCCGCCTTTGCCGCCCGCCGCCGCCTCGTCGTCGTCCTCCTCGTCGTCCTCGTCGCCGTCCTCCTCCTCGTCGTTATCGTCGTTATCCTCGTCGCCGGCGCTCGACGCCCCGCTCAAGTCGTCCCCGCCGTCGTCGCCGTCGTCGTCGTCGTCGCTGTCGTTGCCTGCCGCGGCGGGGGCCCTGTCGGCGGCGACGACCCGCACGCGGTGCCGCCTGTGCCTCACGAGGACGGACGCCACGACGACGCGCAGCCCCGCCGAGAGCAGCATGCGCCGCAGCGCAAACCGCGTCTTTCGCCCGTCCAGCGCCGGCACCGCGTGGCCGTGGGCCGCGAAGATGGCGTGCACCGCGTCCTCGAAAACCAGCCGCCGCTCCGGCGAGGCCACGACGATCTGCCGCGCCACGGCGGGGTCGAGGATGAAGCGCGGCGGCCGCAGCTCCCCGCGGCGCCGCGCCAAATACGCCTCCAGTGGGCGAAGGCGCCGCTGCGGCTGGTTGAGCCGCGGCGGCGGGGCGGCGAAGTGCGGCAAAAGATACGGCGCCAGCGGGGCCTCCTCCGCCCCGCAGACGTACACCACCCGCAGCCACTGCTCCCGCAGCAGCCGCCGGATGCCGATCCCCAGGCCCGCCACGGCTGGGCGCCTGTCCCGCTGCCGCCCGGCCGCGGCGGAGTTCTGGAACCGGCGGACCCCCGTCACGAGGTTGTCGCAGGCGTAGTTCACCGCGGCGCGGACGTTCTTGAAGCGCAGCGACACCCCCAACGTCTTCTCCTGCAACGCCAGGCTGGGGCAGAAGGCGCACTGGTCGTACGCCACCGTGCCACTCGTCAGCTCCGACGGCGCCACCGGCTTTCCGCTGCGCCTGACGCTCACCTCGCCGCTCTCGCTCAGCAGAAGGTCCAGCACCATCTGCCGCAGCGTCGCATGGTCCGCGAGGCCGTAGTACGGCAGCACGTCGGCGGAGACGAAGGAGAGCAGCTCCGCCCCGCTGCAGCCGTACTGCTCGCTGTGGGAGCCAATGAACTCGAGCACGCACTCGAGGATTTCACCAAACATGAGGGAGGAACAAACAACCTTGCTGCTGCTGCTGCTGTGTTGCGCCTCGCGTTCCCTCCCGCCTGCGCGCTCCCTAAAACAGACTCAAGAAAATATCGGCGTGCCACTTCGCCTCCTTCACTGATGGCGACAGTGACGAAAAAGAAATTAATGGCAGCACGGCCCCGGTGGCAAAGGAAAAGGAAAAAAGAGAAAAAGAGAGAGAAAGGGGGCATAGAAAAGGCAGCAATAAATAAAAGGGACGGCGTGCTAGTCGGGCACATATCGGTGCAATCCGCACAACGCGGGCGCGTCCGTCGGCGGCACCGCCGGCTCGCTGCTTGTATGCGTCTATGTCTATTCCAAGCCGCAGCTTCGTGTCTGTCGCCATACTTCGTTATCACCTCACCCGGCGTCTGCCTTCTTCCCGCGCCTCTGTTTGTTTCTGTCGGTTTCTTTGCAAGCGCAGCTCCCCTCCCGCACGTCTTGGCCCCCTTTTCCGCCGGCGGGGTGAAGCGTGCGGGGTAAACACAGCATCAAAAAAGGGGACAAGAAGAAAAGAAAAAAAAAAGAAAAAAGAAATTCTGGTGGAGTCGCAAAGTGGCGCCGCCTCACTCACTCCCGGCGGAGCCCGCCCCATCGTCGTCGCCAGAGGCGGAGGAGGAATCACTGCTGCCGCTGCTGCTGCCGCTGCTGCTGCGCGTCGTTGCCGTTGCGTCTTCCTCATCCTCCTCCGCCTCCTCCGCAGTCATGCGCCGCCGCTTTTGGGGCCGCCGCTGCCGCCGCCGTCCCGGCTGCGCCTCGTCAGCTTCTTCCGCCGCGGGGAGTGTGCCGCGCGAGCCCCGCGCCCGCAGCTGCGCGCTGCCCCTGCTGCCGCGGGGGCTCTCCCTGTCGTCGGCCGCCGCCTCCGCCTCCGCCTCCTGCAGCAGCCCCGCGAGGGCGCCGCACAACTCCTCGAGGGCGCGGCGCCGGCTGCTGGCGTCCGTCGGCGGGGACTCCCACAGCGGGGCCGCTCTCCGCAGCAGCGCCGCGAGGCCCTGTCGGAACGTCACCGACGCGGCGCTCTGCGGCTCGCGGCGGGCGAGTGTTATCAGCTGCTGGGCGCCGCCGCTGCGACGCCGCATTGCCAGACGCCGCAGCCTCGCCCCATGCAGGCCGTACTCGCCGCGAAGAAAGGTGCGCAGCTGCGAGATGCAGAGAACCCCAAAGCACATCCACAGCTCGACGGCGCGGTCCTGCCTCGCCGCATGATCATCAACGTTATCGTCGCCGCCGGTGCCGCCCTTCCGCCGCTGCGGATGCGTGGGGCGTTTCCTTGACCGCAGGAGAGACAGCTGCGCCTCCGCAAAGTCGAGGCAGCTCTGCCCCACCAGGTCCACGGCCGCGCGGCAGTTGTCCAGCACGTGCAGCACATCGCTCTCGTGGGTGTAGGGAACGAAGGCCGTGACAACCGTCAAGTGGCAGAGGAAGGGAAACGGGCTCCGCGCCGACGCCCCGTCACTCGCGCGGTGCTCCCGCAGCCACTGCGCCGCCCGCGCCTCCTGGTAAAGGTACCGCAGCAGCGAGGAAAGAAAAGCATCCCGGTAACGCTTCCGCAGAGAGGCGAAGAGGCGGGCGTGTATGCACTCGCCGGCCTGCAGGGAGGTGTCCGCGAGGACGGCGCTCTGCAGCACATCCACGTCACAGGCGTCGTGCAGGTCAAACGCCCGCACAACGCCTACGGCGGCGTTGGCGGCGACGACATCGGCGTACCGCTCGCTCTGCGCCGCCATGCACTCCACCGCGGCCTGCCGAAGTGCCTCACTCTGCGGGTCCGCGGCGAGAACAATCAGGGCGCTTGCGTACCGCGACGGCGGCAGCAGGCCCCCCTCCGCGCAAAGCTGCAGGACCTCAAAGGCCAACTGACGCACCGCCACGGCCTTCACCTCGCACAGCTGCAGAATCTGCGGATGAAACTGCTGCATCACCCACGTCGCCATGCCGCTGTTCTGCTCCGCCACGCAGGGGGCAACCTCAACCTGCAGCTCCTCACGCCGCCTGCGCCGTCGCGCGGTCGGGGACGACGACACCGACGAGTCGGACGGCAGCGGCACGGGGGCGGCTGTGGAGGCCGCGTGGTCGATGCGGGCGTCCTCGTCCTTCAGGAAGTCGCGGATGAGGACGAGGGCCTGCGACTGCAGGGCGAGGTCCCCGGCGGGGTCGAGGGCGCGCCGCAGGTGCGGCTCGCAGCGGCGCAAAAAGACGGTCGGCTGCAGCATGCAGAGGGAGGCGAAGACACGCAGGGCGATGACGGTGGTTCGCTTCTGCGCCTCTGCGGGGCACTCCCGCAGCACCCGCTCCACCGCCGCGTAGACGTTTGCGCAGATGCCGTCGCCGAGCGCCAGTTGGTTCGGCACGCCCGACCCACCCACCGCCGCCGCCTCGGCGAGCTCCGGGTGGTGCTGCCCCCACGCGGGGCAGAGGCGCAGGAACTCCGAGAGAAGAAAGAGGAAGCGCAGCGTGTACGCCACGCTCTGCGGGTCCGTGCGCAGCGTCGGGGCGAGCGAGAGCGCCCGCACATAGTAGGCGTTCATGAGCGAGTAGCATAGGCCCAGGTACTTTGCGTTCGCGTAGTCGGCGAGCCCGTCCCCGCCGCAGGTGATGGCGGCGCTTAGGACGCCGCTGGCTGACAGGAGGATCTGCTGCTGGTGCGGCCCGACGTACCGCGCGAGGACGGTGGTGAGGGCCCGCGCAAGTGGGTCGAGGGCGAGCGGCGGGGGGCGCGGCGCCAGCAGCACCGTCCGCAGGATGCGGCACACATGCAACAGCGTGACCCCCACCGCCTCCTTCGCCGCCGCCGACGTCGGCGACGACGGCGAGATGGACTGCACGAGGGTCTGCGCGAGGACCTCCAGCAGGGGCTCAACCCACGCGCTGCAGGCGAGGGCGAGGGCGTGCACGGCGGCGAGGGCAGCCGCCGCCTCCGGCGCTGGCGTCAGTCGCTGGTGCTCCGCCCACAGCACCTTCGCGGCGCCGAGCATGGCATCGCGCAGCTCCAGCGCGTCCACCGCCACATTCCTCGCGCCGCGCCGCGGCGTCTCCCGCCCCTCCGTCAGGCGGCACATCCCGCGCAGGAGGACGACAAGCGGCTGCGCCGCCGGCGCCTCGTACGGGTACGCCACGTTTGTCACGGTGAGGCGCATCAGCTCCCGCGCCACGCGTGCCCGGGTGGGACGGCCGGTGACGTCCGCGGCGGCCTCCTGCCCCACCCACCGTCGCAGGAAGAGCCGCACGACGCAGCTCTGGTGCCGCGCCTCCCGCGCCGGACCCAGCAAGGCAAGCAGCTTGGACTCCGTGAAGGTCAGCAGGTTCTCGCCAGCCGCCGAGGCCTCCAGCAGGGGCCGCAGCGACGCGTCTGTGAGTAGGGTGTCGAGGGCCGCGATGGCACGCGCAACGACGGCCGCGCTGCGGTCGGTGAGGAGGTGCAGGAGGGAGCTGACAACCTCCGCGGCGGTCTCCTCCGCGTGGGCGCCGCCGCACGCCTCCGATAAAAGCGTGAGAAACAGCGGGACTATAGCCTCCCGCACGCGCGCGTTATCGTCGCGAACGCAGCGGCGGGCGATGGGCCAAACCCTCGCGAGCAGCGGCGGGTGTAGCGCGGCGAGCTTCCCCATGTGCTGGATGGCCCTCTTGCGCGCCGCCTCCAGCCCCGCAAGCTGCTGCTGCCGCTCCTCCCGCAGCTGAAACACAGAAAGCAGCCACGACGGCAGCCGCTCCTTCGCCATGGCGCTCAGCAAGGACTTGTCGCAGGCGCCACACAGCTGGGCGCTGCACGCGTGCAGGACGCCCCAGTCGACGGCAACGCCGCCGTCAGCCACCTGCGTGGCCTGCACCAGCGCCGCCAGCACGGCGTCCGGGAAGCGAGTCGCGTCGTGGATGGCCCATGCGTAGACGTGCGCCGCGCGCAGGTGCCAGGCGGCGGCCGCTACATCCGGCGCGGGATCCGCAACCCGGTGTGAGAGGGCCACGTAGAGCAGCGCCCGCCGCAGTTCATCGTGGGGAAGCGGGGCCTCTGCCTCCACCGCCGCCTCGCCGGGGTGCGTAAGCTGCCGCCACTGTTGCAGCTGAGCGTCCGTCAGCGCACACGCCTCCGGCAGGGCGGCGGACTGCAGCAGCGCCTGCTGCGCGGGGCTGAAGAGGACACAGGAGACGCGAAAGACGACGTCCAGGAAGAGCGCCCGCGTCCCCTCCGTCGCGGCGGAGGAGAAGCAGTGCTTCGCGAAGGAGACGAGGAGGGCGCGCAGCAGCATGTCCGCCGCGGGGAACTCCGGTAGCCCCAGCATGTTCGCCAGGTCCTCACAGAACTGCAGGACGATGGCGCCGCACATCTCCCGCTCCCGCTTGTCGTCGCGCTCCTCTAGCAGAAAGTGGCGGAAAAACATGTTCGACCACACACAGCACTGCTGCTGCAGGTGGTCCGCGGCGCCTCGTGTGACGGGGCCGGCGCCGACGGGCGTCGACTGCGCCGCGGCCACCACCGCCGCCGTGAGGGCCGCCGCCTTCACCCCCGACGGAAGCAGGTGCGGGCGCAGCAGGAGATGCTCGCCGTGCGGCAGCCGGGGAAAGAAGCGCTCCCAGGCCGCGTCGCGCTGCGCCTCGAGCCGGTTCCACAGGGCGCTGTACAGGTGCAGGGCGTGGCTCACGACATGCGTGGCGTAGTTGGCCGCCTCCTGCCGTCCGCAGGCGCCGGGGAGGGCGAAGAGGCACTGAAAGCAAAGATCCTCCAACCGCAGCAGGTCTCCGTGGGCACAGAGGCGCAGTCGGGGGTCGGCGACCACCAGCGCGAAGCAGCGCAGCATCGCCCGCAGGCACTCCAGCTCCGCCGCGGCGCCGGCGTCGTCCGGCGCGTGCCCCAAATGCCGCCTCCGCACGCGGCGGAGGAGGGCGGCGAGGACGGTGATGAGGCGGTCCACGGCGTCCTCGGCGAGCAGCGAGGGCTCGAAGGCGGGGTGGGAAATGCAGGCGCAGCAGGCCACGGCCCGCTCCATCGCGGCCGCAGGAAGCACAAACTCCGCGGGGGACGTCGCCGCAGCCTCCGGCAGCGTCAATAGCGACGAGACGAACGCCGTGAGACGCTCCGCGGGGACGTCTTTGAAGGGCTGCGGGGCGTCCAACAGCGCGCCGAGCAGCGACGCCAGCGCGCGGCTCCCCTGCACCCCGGCGCCGATGATGTCCGCGAGGGTGGAGGGGCCGCACGAAGCTGGTGGCGGCGTGACGGGCCTCGCATTGGCGTGCACGGCGCCGCGCAGGCGAACGGGGGAGGCAGGGCTGGACTTCGGCTCCTGCTTCGGCGCCCGCGCGGCCGCCTCCTCCGCATTTTCCTTTTCGCCACCGCCCTCCGGCGCGGAACGCCGGCGCAGCGTCATGTGGCACTCCGCATTGTGCGCCCACCGCACCTGCTGCGAAGGCGCCCCCGCCCCGCGCACTCCGCCGATGCTGTGCAGACGATCTATCTCTATACGCAACAGCCCCTCATGGATGCGCCGCGCCAGCGGGGAGAGGCGTGGCGTGTTTTGCTGCGTGCCGCCGCCGCCGTCGCCCTCCTCCTCCGCGCCGCGGCGTAGTGCCATGTAGCTGCTGGATGCCAAGAGAGTGCGGGCGAACCCCATGACAGTCTCCTTTAGCGCGTCGTCCGACGCGTGCGACATGCCGCGCGCCGCTGCGAAGTCAAGCCGCTCCGCGGGCGCCGACGGCGCCAGCAGCTGCGGCAGCGGAAACGCCGCCAGCACCTCCAGCAGCGGCTCGACGGCGGGCGAGATGTCCGGCGGGAGAGGCGCGGCGGCATCGTGCGTGGACGGCATTACGTGAGAGAACCCCCACACCTCCTTTTTTTTGTTTGTTTGCTTTTTTTTGTTGTTGTTGTTGCCCAGCAGAAATGCGTGCGTCGGCAACGAAACACACACACACACACACACGACAGAGCAGAGAAACACAAAAAGACACAAAAAAAAAACAAAGGTGGAGACCCAATGAAAAGGCCCATGTCCGACTCCACCCACGCATGGGGGCAGCTACGCAGCCGAGGCGCGGTCGACAAAGGCGGGCAGCCGCAGAAGCACGTACACAGATTTATATATTTATATAAACTACCTAAACTGGCGGCGGCGAGGGCAAAGAAACATCAAAGGGTCCGCCAAGAGAAACGGAAACGCAGAAAAATTAAAAAAGCGGGGGCGTTACGATTCCTCAGCAATCTCGGCCGGAGGAGGAGTAAACGGGGGGAGCAGGGCGGCGCACGCAGCACGCACCTCCTCGCCCAGGGACGGGTCTAGCGAACAGGTGTCCTGCAGGAACTTCTTGGCTGCGGCCTGGACCTTTTCGTCGGTCCTTGTGGGAATGCGGGGCAGCGCCCCGCGCCGGTACCAAGTGGCGACGACGGGCAGCACCTCCTCCACGACGCGCCGCGCGAGGAAGTCGGTCGCCAGCGCAACGAGCGCCTGAAGCCCCTCCATCGCCGCCAGCACCGCCGGCGTGGGCGGCACCGCCTCGAGTGCGCGGCGCTCCTGTGCCGACAGCCGCCTCGCGTCGCTTGGGCCGGCGAGGCCGGCAACGGGCTCCGCGAGGATCGCGAGGAAGGCGAGGTACGCCTGGTAAACCGTGCGCAGGTGGCTGCGCGGGAGCACGGCGGCGGCCGCGGCGTCCCACGCAAACGCGGGCGGTGGCTGTTCAGCCTCGCCCTCGGCCGCGCCCGCCCACGCCTCCGCCGCGGGGGTGGTGAGAAACACGGTGAGGCCGTGCACGACGGCCCGCACCGCGAGAGGCGCGACCGCGTCATTCCGCGCGCAGTACGCCAGCAGCACCTGCACCGCCTCGAGCACCGTGAGCTGCAGAATCTGCACGCGAGGCTCCGCCGCGGTGGTGAGGCGGTCCTGCTCCTCGTCGGCCCCGAGCTGTGGGACGGACCGGTTGAGCGCCGCGGCCAGGCTGAAGCAGTCGGCGAGCAGCGCGACGGAGGCCAGCGCCCCGGCGGTCTCCTCCTCAACCGTCGCGCGTCGGCAGCCGTCGGCGGCAACCTTCACGGCGGCGGCGACGAAGTCGGCGACTTTTGGCACCGCGGCGGCTGCGGCGACAACAACCGGGGCGAGGCCGTCGCCGCGCGGGGCGTCCACCCACTGCGGCCGCGCCGCCGCGCCGTCACTCGCCCCGGCCCTGCGGGGGACGGGCAGCAGCGCGCTCCGCAGAAAACCGACGCCGCCGCGGAGGACGTTGGCGGCGGCGGCGCGAAAGTCCTCCTCCGTGACGGCGCGCGCCGCCTCGTCCACGACGTGGGCGCCCTGCTCCAGGAGGAAGGCGAGGGTGTCCGGGTACTCGCCCGCCTCCCCGAGCCCCTGCAGCACGCGCATCGCGGCGTCGTGCACCACCGCCGGCCCCGTCGCCTTCTCCAGCACGAGGTATAGCAGCAGCAGGGTGAGCCGCCGCACCGCCCGCCGCCGCCGCGCCCTGTGCGCCACGGGCTCGTCACGCAGCACCCCCGCGGCGAGCTCCAGGCAGCGCAGAATCGTCGCCGCGACCGTCTGTCGGTGACGCAGCTGCTGGTACGAGCAGAGCTGCGCATCCTCTGTGATGTTCCACAGGTGCGGCTGGGCGACGACGCTCCAGAGCCGCTCAAACGCGCCGGAGAGGACGAGCTCCTCAGCCGGTCGCCCACGCCCCCCCTCCCCCGCCGTCGCCCACGCCGGGCTCCTAAACTGCCACAGCACAAGCCGCGCAAGCACGTAGATGGTTGGCGGGTGCAGCATGTAGAGGTCCCAGTCCGCCAGCGTTGCCTCGCACTCAGACATGAATGCCTCCAACAGCAGCGCCCCGTCCGCTGCGGGCTCCGCTGCGGCAGCCGTCGCTAACGCGTACGCGGCAGCCTCGAGAAACGCATCCACAACCGCACACGGATGGCTGCGTGCGGCGGCCGCGCTGTACAGGTCCTCCACGCTCATCTCCGTGCCCACCACCCGCACACACCGCTGCAGCACGGGCAAGAGCAGGTGCCGGTCGTGATTTCCCGCGAGCTGCGCCGTGGACCGCGTGGCCCCGCAACGCAGCAGCGCCGCGGCAAATTGCAGCAGCTCCACCCCGTGCATTTGCCGCAACTGCGAGTGCAGCACCTCCACCACCGCAGGTACCTCAAAGAAGGTGCTTGGTATTTGGCCAACGGGCTCCGTAGCACCGCTGAGAAGAAAATGTACGTTTGAAAGCACAAGCCACGCGACGACGACCTCCTGCATCAGCGGTGTTGCAAGAAATGTGCGGAGTGACGGGAGCAGCAGCAGCTCCGTGGTAAGCCGCAGCAAGGATTCTGCGAATGGAGGCGCCAGTGCCCCACACGCTAGCCAGCGCGGGTCCAACAAGCGAGCCATGCTGCGCCCCAAGTGCTCCACCGCCCCCTGCAGCCACTGCCTGTCCTCTCCCTGCGGCTGCAGCGCGGCTGTCAGCGCGGCCCGCAGCAGCTCCACCGCCCCCGTGCGCACGGCAACCGCGTCCGTGCCGTGGTGCGCACGGTCCACGTACCGCACACACGCCGAGACAATCCCGGGAAGGCAGAGACGCGTATTGCTGCAACCTATGGCCGTCACAACGGCGACGCACGCGCGGAGGCTCTCCACCTGCAGCTGCTGAAACCAAAGCTGCCTGCGCCCCGACAGGGCCCCCAGCATCTCATGGATAAAGAGGGCGGCCTCTGTGTGGTACGACGCGTCTTTGAAAAACGCGGCATGACGTCGCGGACCTACGCCGTGCAGCGCGGCAACCGCCCGGACGGCCAACAACTTCTCCTCCTCTGTGGTGGCCAGCGAGCTCGCCGCGAGGCTTGACGGGCCGGACGGCGCCTCCGCTCCGCGGAACAGGTGCACAAACTCTTGCTGCAGGAGCAGCGTGAGCTCCCGTACGTCGTCGAGCTGATCCGCCTTTTCCGCAAGGCGGCACAGGACGCGGGCGGCTGCGAGGCTCATACCGCAGCCTGGCCGACGCCTTCCACCCCGGCCCCCCTCCCCACCGCTCGCGTGCCCCCAACTCCCTACACCGAGAAGCACACAGGCACAGGAGCGCCCACCTACAGGCCAACTGACAGCCGTGAAGGAGGCGAAGGGAAAAGTTAAAAAAAAAAAGGACACATGCACGCAACGTATATACACACATAAATGTAAACAACTCGGAAGACACCGTAAGAGAAACATGGCGAGTGGAGCAGAATTTGGCCCTGCAGTAGGAAAAGGCAGGAACTAAAAACAGGCAACTTTCAAGGACAACAACAAGAAAAAAAATAATAATAATAACACAAATAAATAACACAACAACAGCCGCTATTGCTCCGCCTCCTCGCGGTCGGGTTGTCCATGCACGCGGCCGCAGCCTTCACGCACGCATTTGGCGCCCCGCCGCCGTTTAAAACAGGTCGTCGTAATCGTCCACGGCATGCCCAAAAAACTTCGGCGTCTCATCGTACATGGCGTTGAAGTAGTGGACGTAGTGGTTCTCGATTTTTTGTCGCGCAAAGCCGTACTTGCAGGTGATAAATCCGTTGGCCAGGGTGCACTCCTCTATAAAGGCGAACCGGCGAACGTGCGCCCGCGCCGGCAGCCCCTGCGACGCGCGGCGCAGCTCTGCCCGAATACAGTCCGCCTTCTCGCGCTCGCTCACGATCGGCACGCCGTCGCGCCGCTCCACCTTGCGCAGGTGCGACGCGATGGCCTTGGCGTTCGGAACCACCAACGCCGTGAGGTAGGGACGGTTTTCCCCGTGCACAAAGACCTGCCTCACAAACGGGCTCTTGATGAGTGTCCCCTCCACCTCCAGCGGGTCCACCACGGCGCCGCTCGCAAGCGTGATGAGCACGTCCTTGTTCCCCTTGAGCGTGATCCACCCGCCCGTGACGGAGCCGTAGTCGCCGGTGCGCACAAACGTCCTGCCGCCGTAGGCCACGAGGGAATTGCTCGCCTGCTCGGGGTCGATGTGGACGTCGAAGTACCCCTGCATGGCGTGTGGGGCCTCCACGAGCACCTCCCCGAGGTCGCCAGGCGCGACAATCTCGTTCTTCTCGTTCACGACACGCACCTCCACCCCCGGAAGCGCCTTCAGACGGAGTGGCACGTCAATGTCGGTGGCGATGAGGCCGCCGGCCTCCAGGGCGCCGTAGGTGCTCACGGTAAATACGTCGAGGTCCGCCAGCAGCTCCGCCTGGTCCCGCGTCAGCTGGCTTCCGACGATAAAAACAATCCGCAGCTCGTTCCCAAACTGTTGCTTAAACTTCCCAAGCAGCACATGCGACGCGGCTCGTAGCGTGTGGCCTGGCTTCTTCAGCATGAGTCTATTCTCTGTGATGCGGCCCAGCGTGAACCGTGTCATGTCCTTCGTTAGGCTCCCACGATTCATGATGTTGTCCACCATGTTGGCGTAGGCCCGCTGAAACGGCAGGGCGACAGACGTAATGACACTCGGCTGCACCAGCGCGAGATCCTGAAATCCCTCCAGCTGCTCGGGCGGAATGCAAATGCAGGCGCCTTTGCAGATCGCCTGGTATAACTCGACCGTAAGTGCCCCGGCGACGCACCAGGAGCACAGCGACATGAATAAGTCGGTGTGCGTCAGTGCCCCGCCAACGTGGGCGTAAATGGAGCTAATATTTGCCACCAGGTTTCGGTGCGAAAGCATCACGCCCTTCGGCGGCCCCGTGGTGCCCGCGGTGAACATAATCATGGCGGTATCCTCCGCCGTGATGTCCTTGCGCGGGGGGACTTTTTCCGGCACGTCCGCGGCGACGTTGATTGCGACGGCGTAGCTGCCCTCACCAAGCTGGTCCTCGAAGCAAATCACATGCTGCAGCTGCCCCACCTCGCCAATCCAGCCCTTCACGGCGGCGTAGGAGGAGGTGGACTCAACGAATAGCACCTTGGCCTGTGTGCTAGTTAGCACGAGCCGCGCCTCCATGGGGGTCACGTTGGTCGGCAGAACCACAAACTGGGCGCCAAGCTGCAGCGTGGCAAAGTGCACAACCACCCACTCATAGCGGTTCTCGCTGATGACGACGACGCGCGAGCCCTTCTCCACCCCCATCTTGTGCAGCAACGTTCGCATGGCGGCCATCTCCGCCTCAATGGACTCATAGTTGGCCCACACATAACCCAGTTGACCACGCACCCACATCTTCGTTCCAAGAAAACGCCGCGTAGGCCACGCCTTCACGGCCTGCTCCCACAATTCAACAAGCGTGCTCTGCGGCTTAATCACGAGCCCCAGGCGCATATCGTTGTTCATTGACGCCCCAGCGGCCACATCCGACTCACCGTAGTAGGTGCCAGCCACACTGGTGCCGAAGCGGCACGACACTTGCAGGGCGAACCCGCCTCGCCTACCGCGGCTCCTAAGAACGCCGCCAGTCAAGGTCAAGATGCGTGAGTAGAGTCGCATGTTGTATCGTCTCCGTCTTTACTTCACCTTTTTTTTGTTTCCTTTTTCCTTTTCTTTTTAATTTCCGTCTGTTTTGGGGCTTCGCCGTGCTGTCGTTGGGGTGGGGAGGGGATTTAACCTCCGTCCCTCCCTTCGCGTTTCTGCGCAGTCTCTGCGGCCCAGCAACGGTGGCGGCAGCCGTCAATGCCGTTCGAGTCCGCGTCTAGGCGCAAGACAGGGGAAAGGCAAAAGCAACCTTGACAGACGAGCGGGGCCAAGAGCAAAGGCACAGGTGCTGCGCAGGGGCACACACAGAGACACGATAGCACGTGGCAGATGGCACTGTCCCCGCAAAATGCGCCGCGCGCCTTCATCGCTGCTTCCTGGAAAAACGTACATGGCGAAGAGAACTGGACAGCCAACACACAATAAACATGAAAAAAATAATAATAAATGGTGTCTCTTGAAATATGAAGTTCGAGGAGAATACGGTGGGGCGGGTTCTCTCGATTTTGCTTTCTTCTCTAACTTCTTTTCGTAGCTCTCCGTGGGTAGTGGCAGTGCGATGATGCCCCTTCTTCTCCCTTCCAGTTGGCGCCCCGTTGCCGTGCCCCCGGTTGGGGCGTGTGCGTCGGTCGAAGGCCCGCCAGACGCGCGGGACAAACACACCCGCGTTCGCAAACAAAAAAAAAAGACTGCACAGACGCAGACACATACGCCTCCGCCCACCTCCTCTACCTGCCCCTTCTGCCTTCGCTGCCTCGACGCGGTCTCTACATGTCACCCTCCGCCTCCTCTTCCTCCACCTCGTCTTCCGAGTCCGGCTCGGGCGGCTCCTCGCCGCGGCGGACTAACTTCTCCGTCGCCGGCGTGGGATCATTCGCCTCCGTGATGTCGCCGCACTCCGGGAGCACCGGCGGGGCGAGGGTGGGGGTGAAGCTGAAGTCCGTCTTCTTGAGGCCGTTGCCAAAGTAGACGCAGCCCCACCGCTTGCCGCCGTCCGCGGCGAACGCGACGGCGCCCGGCCAGCGCAGCGAGCGAACCAGCACCACGCGGTGCTTCTTGCTGTTGTTGTTCACAACCCGCAGCGTCCAGGCGGCAACCTTCACCTTCGTCGGGTCGTCGTCGGGTATGGCGTCGTCGGTGACGGGCTTTGGCGGCGTGTCGTCCTCCTCCTTTTCCGCCTCCGCGGCCTCGTCGGCGTCCGCGGCCTCCTCCTCTTCCTCCTCCTCATCCTCCTCGTCCACCTTCGGCGCCTCGGGGACGTTGATGATCGCGTACAGGAAGTCGGTGTTAACGGGGGTGAACAGCTCCTTCTCATCCTCTTCCTCTTCTTCCACCACCTCTTCCTCCTCCTCCTCCTCCTCCTGCCGCTGCTGCTGCAGCTCCTCCGCCTCCTCCTCCTCCTCCTCCTCCGGCTTCTCCGGAAGCTTCGTCTGCCGGCCATTGGCGTAGATGTAGCCCTCTGCGTGGACCCACTGATCCAGCTTCGCCCACTGCGTGACGTCGGAATCCTCCTCCGAGGCGAAGCCCTTCACTGCCTGGGTGAGTGGGCGGTATTTTGCCTCCTTGGGCTTCTTCGCGTTGGCCCCATCATCGTCGTCGGCGTCCTCCTCCTCGTCAGCGTCTTCCTCGGGCTCTTCAAGCGCCCCCAGTGGGGAGATGTACGTCCCGCTGGCAATGCGGCTAAGCTGCACACGAAGGTAAACAGCCTCATTCCATTCGAACGGTGGACTGGCAATGACAGCGGCAGTTAAGTCGCCCGTAAACAACCGCTTAATCCGCCTCCCTGCCACGATTTGCTGCGGTGTAACATCTGGAAGCAGCTTCCATTCAGCCGCAGGATGTGAGGTTACCCAAAATGAGAGTCGATTTACCCCAACAAAGCCAGGCTCAGGCTGCACAGGCACTTCCAACTTGCGTCGCGCTGGACGAGGCATGGTGTTGACCTCCTTGTAAACCTTTTCTCCCTCTTCGACATAACGCTGGCTGCAAACCACGTAGTAGTTGGCCCTTGTACCAAAAATTTTTCCAAAGAAGCGAACATCCCTCAGTTTCTTTCCCATTGCCAGCATCGTGATGGACCGGTCAAGTAAAAAGGCCTCCTCCTCCGTCACACCGCACCCCGCCCAGGCCCAGTAAAGGTTCTGCTGAGCCACGGAGTCGTACGGAGGAGCGGTGTGCGGCTTTATCCGCGTCGTCGTTACAGTTGTATACGGGTCTGGCTGCTCTATCGTCGTCACTGCCTCCGGGGGCGGTCGCTCAAACAGGCGTTCATTGACCGCAAGACGCGCGAGCTCAGACGGCGGGACTGGGCAGGGCTCGTTGCACGCAGGGGTGCTTTGACCGTTCACAAAGCTGTGCTGCTGCAGAAGTGTGAAAACGTCGTTAAAGCTCGAGGGATCGGCGGCAATGCCGTGCGGGTTCTCGTCCAGCAGCTGCTCCATCAACCGGGTGAGTTGGTCATAGACGCTGACGCCGTCCTTGTTGACGTTCATGAGGTACGCCTTTGTGCGTCCAAACATTTCCTCCACATCTTTTGCGAGGGGTTGAGTGGCCATTTTTCCGCACGCTCGCTTTTTGCTTTTGTCTTTCTTCCGTGATGTTTCTGCCGCTCCCTGAGTCTTCCCTACGCTCCGCTACCTCGGCGCCTCTCGCTAACTATTGTTGTAGTTTTTGGTTGCTGTTTTGCTCTCTCGTTCTTCGGGCTGCTGCGAGAGCGGAGGTGTCTGTGCGTATACTTCCTTCCCTGTCTCCTTTTTTTCCGCCCGCCTCCAATCGTTGCGAGGGCCAAGGAAGACACGAGCAAAGAAAAAAGGTCCTTTGTGTGTGTGTGTGTGTGTGTGTGTGTGTGTT